TTAATTTAATGAACACCCAATTTCTTCTGCTTTCAATTGACAACATTCTTCAAAATTTTCACACCTTTTCTGTCTGTTTTACTAAAGGCTGCTGTTGAAAAACTAAAATTTGAAACAAAAAAGAAAGTTTAAAGGGTCAGAAAACAAGGAGAAAAAAAGTACAAACTTCTCTTTTTCTTCTCTCTCTTCTCCATTTACCCTTATTTTTTTTTACTTCGGCTTCCATCTTTGCTGTCTGTAAACGTTCAGATTTTTAGAAAAGCCTAAAAAGCATCAACAATCAATTGAGCCAATAGCCCACCAACCTATAACAATTATCATTTTTTATTTTTTCAGCTTTTTTTCTTTATTTTTTTTCTACACGAAATTAACTAAGGATATTTGGAAGCGCTGAAGCGGACGATAAAAAAGAATAGAGCAGATAAAAAAAAAAAAAACAGATTTTTTTCATTCTTACAGAATGAATTGCTGTTGCTGGTTACAGAAATGGAGATAAATAATCTGTTGATTTTTTTTTCAATTGAAATCAAATTTTTTGTTAGTATTCATCATCAAAATATCATCGTTTTTTTTTTTTTCAATGATTTATTTATCGAATTGCTTCTAAATAGCGACAACTCAATGACAACAGTACAGTAATAAAAATACGGTTGCTAATCACTTGTTACCTACTTTACTTGTTTTGCTTTTTAGGGTCTTGTGGCGACTAAAATGAGGTAGAGAAAAGAGAAGAGAAAGAAGCAAGAAGCAGAAAATAAAAAAATAAAAACAAATAAAAGAAGAATAACTTGGAGAGAAAAAAGAAAGCGAAGAAAAAACAAAAAAACGGCAAAAGGAACATCACTAAAAACAGTGTTCAGTTAGGTGACTTGAATGTTTTTGACGATTGTATTCATCGATTAGTTGATCCAATAATCCTGGCTTTTTTTGACTTTCCCTTATTCTGCACAAAGTTTTCTTTCCCCACTCCTATTGTCTTTTTCATTGGTTCAACGTCAGCTGAACTTAACTGAACTGAATTGAACTGAACTGAAGTGAACAAGCATTTCAATCGAGGAAAAAAAGGAATGGTATTACCACAGTTTAACCAGGAGGTAAAACATAAAAATGGCGTGCATCGTGTTCAACGCCGATATGCCAACAGTAAACGGCCACAATATGTCGACAACGATGCATCGGCGCCCGGAAGTGCTAAACGAAAAGTTAGCATCAGAACTCGCGAAAAAAAACTATCAGCAGTTAGTGCAACGGCTGCAGCTGCAGGAGCAGTTTCGGCTGGTGATTCTTTTGCAGTAACCGATATGCGGCTACGTGGCAGCCGTCCGATGATCCTCAGCCATGACCATCAACGACAAAGCAAAGAAGTTAAGCTTGAAGTTGAGAAAACAACAACGGTAAATGGCTTTTTTGGTTCTGTAAGTTTTTTATTTTTTATTGTCTTATCTGCAGTTATCCTTTTCTGTACTTTTTCTTTTGTCAGTTAACTAATTGAAAAAGTTATTTAATTGCTTTTCTTGCTGTCGTTGGTACAGTTTTTTGGGACTTTAACAATTGCAGCGACCATTTGGACGGATTTTAAATCTTTTGAATCCCATCTTTCCTTTTTTTCAATTTTTTGCTTACACTTATAAAATAGACTGCTATTTACCGGTAATTTAGTTATACGTATATTTTCAAAACAAATATATATTCATTCATTCAATTATGATACTTACGAGCATTAGCAATCACGACAAACTGAAAAGAGCTAGCTGTAGACGTAACTGTAATGATTGATCTACATTCTACCTTAGCAAATATTTTATACTGAGATAATGAGTCTAAGAAAAAAAAAAAAAGAAATTGTATCAGTGAACGAGAGAAAAAAAGCCAAATAAATAATTTATTTGAATTTTTGGTAGCATTTTTTAAAAGAAAATTATTTTATTCTTTTTTTTTTTTACCTAATTACGTTGAAAAATTTTTGAATGGTTTTTTGGATAACTGCTCAAAATTTAATTGTTTTATCTAACCACCTATTTCATTTTTTTAATAATGAAAAGCTATTAAGTTAAAAGCAAAACAAAGTGTAAACAGTGAAACTGTAATCAAATATCACAAAACACTATTTTTTTTTAAATTTATTTCATTCTTATTTAATAATTTTTTCAAATTTTAGAAGATTTTTATTGTAGAAAAAGAGTGTTTGTACCACAGATGTCGTAAATTTGGAATTTTTTGGTGATAAAAACAAAGTATAATTTTTACTGCCAGTATTTGATTTTTTTT